GTGATAGAATAACTGGTGAAATTAAATATGGTCGTGAAGATAAAATTGAACAGTCTACATACATTATTGTGCTCACAAAGGATGAAGAAAAATTGTTCGATCCCATCACAACTGGATGGAAAATCATAGGTAATATGTTGAATTAATTAATATTATTTTAGTAATCATCATAATTTAATTAATTGAATTAACTTTAACTTACTAATTTTCTAAATTTTCTAATTTTTTCTCACTAAATAAAGAGTTACGGAAATTTAATTCACATACATTAGTATGGTGAAAATCTCGAATATAGATAATTTTAATATTTAAAAAATGAATGTAATTAAATAAATGGTATGCTGTAGTGGCGATGCTAATACTAAATCAATAATGGATTGATTTCTTGCTGGTATTTTTAGTAGCAGGAGAGAATCTTTTTCAAAAAAGCTTAATTAATTTCACATTTTTGGAAAAGGCTCAATTTTAATCAAATGATTTCTTTTCATTTTTTTTTTTTACTTATAAATACAACCCTTGAACATTTTAAAAAAAATTGGGAGAGTGATCATGATCAAAAGATTTATACAACGCAATCAATTTTGTGAAACGAAAATTTTCCTTTTCTTTCGAAAATTTCCAAAGAGAGATAGTATCGTTGCCAATTCTTTCTAAATATTACCAAAATATTGCCAATCTGTTACAAAAGTATGTTGCACTGATTTGGTTGAGTATTCTTTTTTTTAAAAAAAAAAAGGTCATTGGTTACACTATAATTTGCAAACATAGGCCATGAAAAAAGGTTACCGGTTACACTATAATTCGCGATATTATTTTAGTAATCATCATAATTTAATTAATTGAATTAACTTTAACTTACTAATTTTCTAAATTTTCTAATTTTTTCTCACTAAATAAAGAGTTACGGAAATTTAATTCACATACATTAGTATGGTGAAAATCTCGAATATAGATAATTTTAATATTTAAAAAATGAATGTAATTAAATAAATGGTATGCTGCACATGGCACCACAAAATAATTTTGGTATTAATTTTCATCGCTCATTTTTCATAAAGTATAATTGAAGTATACATTAGTGTGCTGGATTGTTGCGTCAGAGAAACTTGGCATAATGGGAAGCTGTCTCTTTCTCTTTTGTTTTACATATATGTTGATGATTATCAAGTTCTAATATTTTCACAGCAATTCTTTATATCCCAGCTGTGTTTTTATCTGCTCCTCGTTTTTGAAGAAAGTAAAGTGAATTTGTAGCTCTAAAATGCCCCCCTGTTTGGGGACCTGTCAATTTGCTAAAAGCAATGTTTCAGAAATTATTATTTTTTCCTATTATGAAAAGTTACTGTTTTTAGGAATAAAACCCTAGCACTTACCTTCTTTTCGATTTCTTTCTGCCTACCTCAGAATGACATTACTACTGTCAATTATTGCAGGACTGGGAAAACTCTATTGCCAAATTAAGCACCTGATCATATTAACGCGAATCTTGCTTTTTTATAATTGAGCAAATTAATTAAATGGTAACATTTAACAATTTATTAATGATGCAAAATTTTTTTAAGCAGACTTATTTAT